TCATTACTGTTAAACTGTATGTATTGTCCAATTGTTTATTTGAATTCTTATTCCGGATTAGTTGGAGACATACACTAGGCTATATCAGCCCCACCAAAAATATTTTTCACCAGCCGCCACTGCCCTGTACCAGATGAGATTCCACCAAGGTTGTAAAGGAACTTTACTGATGAGCTCTACGACGTCCTCAGCTACATCTACAACCTGAGCCTCTGCCTGGGGGTGTTTCCCTCTCTGTGGAAGACCTCCTGTGTGGTACAGGTTCCCAAAATGCCACACGCCAAGGAAACAGCCCACTTTAGACCAGTCACCCTGGCCTCCCACCTGATGAAGACCATGAAGAGCCTCATCCTTGCCCACCTGCGCATCTCGGAGTGCCCCACCCTCTGCAACCAGACTCTACAATGTAACACTACAACGGCAATAACTTGTGAAATGTATAATGTGCAATTTAGCAGTTGATACCCTGTGCAATAACAGTTTCTCTATATTTGACCCCCAGGGCAATAACAACAAATATAAATATCCATTCACAGAAATTCCTGTGTAAACACCCTGTGCAATAACCTGCTATAATGATCCTTCTATAAGAATAAAAAAAGCAGTCATATGTGGATGCACTGTATATACTGTATATATCCCATGAACATTCTTCTTCTTTGCACATTCGTCTTTTTTGACTATTTGAGCTGATGTAACAAGTACATTTCTCCATTGTGAGATCAATAAAGTCAATCAATCAAAATGGGACTGCAGAGTGGAAATGGTGCACCCTTTTTGAAATGGTCCAATGTCTGCTGATTTAGCATACATTGCAGCCCGGACAGCTGCAATTATGAGAAAAGGATATTACTGTAAGACAACAGGGGGAAACCCATATTTCCTCTTCAGGAAAGAGACTTGATCTATCCAAAATGAAAAAGTTTGGTTCTGAATGTATGGTTTATGAACAAAACAAAAAGAAGCTTCCTCCCAAAGGCAAGAAAGGATTTCTTTGTTGTTGTTTTTTATTGTCACCTGCTTATATGGTTTATTTTCTAGATACAAACAAGGTTCAGAAACATAGACTGGTCCAATTCATTGAAAAAGAATCATCCACAGACTGACGGGGACCAAACAGATGACCACTACATAGAATGGCTCTACAACAAGTCAAACTAGTCAGTCACCAACAGAAGAAATAGAAAAGACAGTCAAAGACATAAGGAGAGACTCAGAGCTACAGGTAGAGTCAGAAAGAAACCCAAACCCTTGGAGGACTATGAATGTGTAGTGTAGAGTGGTGAGTTAACAACTGACTACTGTTACAGAGGTACAGTTGAGCTATCACATATTTAGGCTATGGCATTGTCAAAACACAACAGGTTTGGCTAGATAACTCTCACACTTGGCTCAAATTATCTGGCACTGATGTCTGGAAACAGGCAGCATAAATAGGAGATGGAAAAGGTGGATCAAATGAGGGCAGATGAAAACTGGACGGAGCTAATCAGGTGAAAGGAATGAACTAATAACCCAGACATGCCAAGACATGACAACTGTTACTTCTAGTATTTATTATATAGACTGTGATACAAATACTACTACAACTGCAACTAGCACAGATAATTTTTTAGCACTGGTTTGTTAATACTACTATGATCACTTCTACTAATATTCACAAAAACTATTCCTATTGCTTTATATTATCATATTTTTATTGTTTTCACTATTGTTGTCAGTGATGGGCAGTAGCGCCTACATGTAGCGAAGCTATTAGTTTAACTACATGTTCCAGTAGCTTGACCGTAGCGTTGCTGCTTTATTTATCAAGTAACTTTCCTGTAGTGATGTTATTGCTTTGATCAAGTAGCGACGTAGCGTCCACAAACGCTATAAAATCCAGGGCATAACTAAGAAATTAAGCCAGGTTTTCTATTTTGAAACAACAATCAGAGTTATTTGTTGGACATTCACGCATGAGCCTCTATTCTGCCTCTACTGTCTGTATCTACGAAACATGCGCATGCGTACTGTAGTGGAACTCAAAGAATGACACACACAGATACATGCACACACACAGAGCCACACACACAGGATGGAGGAGGAGACAGGAGCAGAGCGAGAAGAGCAGCCAACTGTCCCTACCTTATCTTCAGAGATTATGAAACTTGTTGAATCAGATACAAAAAATAAGTGTACAGATGTCTGCTTTGCAATAAAAAAAAACAAAAAAAAAAACTCTTCTGTAGGTCTGCAAGAGATAGCCTGTATGCACCCGCACACACCATTGGATTGTTTTAGATGTGGAGTGCTGACAAAATATTGCACAGTCAGATTACAGGTGGACTCTTTTCTGTATTCCACCTCATGCTATAGAACATATGTGCAATGGTGCGCATGTATATGCTCTACCATGAACAAACTGTGGCCAAAACTGTCCATTGACCAACCATGGTCATCAGTACCAAAGTAGGTCAGAAGAAACAAACTAAAATCATTCCTGCCGCTGTGCAGCGGAGGTTGGGTAGCTTGAAATCCAGTTATCAGATGGATTACAGCGTAAAAGGGAACATGGGAGAGAATAACCTGACTGGGAAATAAAGTTATCTTGAAGTATGCAAAGATGCTTAAGGTATTTTATACGGTTTTGTTAGAATTATTATTATTAATGGTGTGTGAGTCTATTATACTAGGGTATATTACCTGCCTGTTGTGTGTCAGAACTAACATTTTCCCAAGTAGTTTATCTAATTATGACACTTTGTCCGGCTATAGAGTAATCATCTTCATTATGTACTGTATATATAATCCATATCCTAACTTTCCTGTATAATCTGTATTTAGCTTCCATATCTATTTATTTTATAGCCTCTTACAATTACTCTCTGTTTGTATATACCATTTATAGGACATACATACATACATACTTTCTGTACAGATAAATAAATACTTATATCCTATATAGCACTTCTAAATAGATGCAAACTACATTTTGTTGCTTTGTACTTGTGAATGTGTAATGACAATAAAGTTAAATTCTATTCTATTCTAAAGACACAATTTCTGAAGCAATTTCTGTGACATACTCAAGAACAGGTTGTCATGGTCTTGTTTATATTTCTGACCCACATGCAAAAAAAACAGACCAATTCATCAGATTAATAAAGTTTATCTTCAAACAAGTATCTGAATTAGTGTAGAATTGTGGGAGAACAGGAACTTGTAAGAGGGAGGACTTTCGCGAGAGAGGTGAGTAAAATGGCTTGATAATCATACAGAAAGACTGTCAGAGGAATTACTTGAATGAACATCCAAAAAAGAACAGGGGAACAGAAGGTTTTTCAGAGGCTCAGGGAGGGTCAAACCTTACCATAAGAGAAAACACGTCACGGAAGAATGACAACTGCATCTACTCCTCTACCTCTCAGGTGATGAGGCTAATGAGTGGATACTTACCTGCAGCAAATAGGTCCAGCCCAGCCACACCTTCTAAGTGCTCTCTGGTGGTAAGTCTGAAAAGGATCAACAACAAACCTACCCAATCTATGACACAGATTAGATGGATTGGCACATTTTCCCCAACTGATTCAAATGTTAGCCCTTTTTAAGTGTATGCCTAATTTTTCACTATGAACCTAGTCAACATTCATGGCTATTCGTCATTATTCCCCCGCAATGTTAAATGACAAGCCCCATCAATGTTCTCCCGCTTATTCTGTTTGAGTCGTGGTGGGGTCATTGTCTTTCTCCGGCAGTCTGCTGGCATAAGGCGGAGTACAACCTGGACAGGTTGCCAGTCTGTCGCAGGGCTACAAAAAGACACACACAGACATGTAACAACGCACACACACAATTTAGAGATGTCAATAAACCTAATGTTTGTATTTGGAATACCCACAGAGAACCCATTTATGCACGGAAAGAACATGCACACTCCACGTAGAAAGACCCTGGGCTGGGAATTGAACCCGGAAAAATCTTGCTGCAAGGTAACAGTGCTGCCATCTACATCATCCTGCAGCCAAATCGCAAGCCTCTCAATGTTGATCTCAGAAACCAATTCTTTGCTTTAATTAAATAAATGTCCTTTAGTCATCTTTCAGAGTCAGCTGTAGAGAATGATTATTTACTGTGTGATCAGTTCTGCTGTAAAGGAACCAGGAAAGAGTCAGTGGCGTCTGACTGCCAACAGGTGCGGTCTCTTTACACAATGGTACCCAAATGTTTGTTGTGGACCTAATAAATATGTTGCTATTCTTAAATCAGTTGTGTATTTTTAAGTAGAAATTTCCTCTGAAACCCTTGGGACTTACCAGGTTAAATATTATGCATCAATTGCGTAAAATTTAATTTAAAAGAGCATGACACAAGTTCCAAAGTTTTTGTAGATACAGTAGGTGCCTCCTCTGACAACAAGCTGAAATAAAATCCTCCACAGATTTTTCGTTCCATCTTCAAAATGATGTTATCTCACTGCAGCAGAGCTTCAACAAGGTTGCCAGGAGAGTGAAAGAGCGCAGTGAATCATGGAAAACATTATACCCAGATAATCTGACCCAAGTTGCTCTCCCAATAAGTGAATAAAAAAGGGCCAAAAGAGGCATATATTTACCTATTAAATTTGCTGAAATCACCTTTAACAAACAAGACCTAACCTAACCCTAACCTGTCAGGGGTTTGGCAGCCTGGCAAAAAAAAACAAACCTTCACGAAAAAAAAATAGTTCCGTTTTAAAATCAAACACCCTGCTTGTCACAGACATAATCTGCTCTGCACCTCCATTGCCTGCAAGACCAAGAAACACAGATCTAACAAAATGTTCGGGTAATTACTTCATATTTCTTTATTACAGTCATTTTAGATTTACTTGTACTTTTTGAATGTAAGTCTGAGAATTGTTTTTAATATTTTTATTACTTTTTAAAAATGTTTAAGAAAGGTGTGGATTTAAATTAAACTGAAATTGAACTTCACATTATATTTTATTATAAAGTTAATAACGTATTAAGGTTATGGTGGAGCAATCATTTGAATAATGCTTTATTCACAACCGCTTACTTTGGGGTTTATAGGTGAAACTTTATTAATAGTGTCAGATCAAGTAAAAAGTGAAAAAAAATGTCTTTGAACACTAATACAAATACTGTAAATCCGATCATTCTGAACTTCTATTTTTTTCCCTGGAGATGCTTAAATAATTGTTTTCTGGTTAAAATTTTAATTTAAACAGCTCCTGCTTTTTAGATAAAGGCGTATATTTCAAGAGTTTACTTATCTACTGCATGTTTGTTCTCATAGAAAGACACGGATAAGAAACCCTGATTTGTAGCTATTGTAACTGGAGTTAACAGAGATTTCTGATTAAGAATGCCTGATGCAGTTTCACTGACAGTAAGGAATTTCTTAAAATAAAGAAATTCCTATCAGCCCTTTATAATGAAGGAATGACAGTAAACTTGTTTAGGTTGTTCTGACTAAATGCTAGAACTGTTTTTGTCTTTTTCTTAACACTTCTGAAACCGGTTGTTGGAATGAAATAGCATCATCTGACTTATTAGCATGTAGCTTTTGAGAAGCCCGAGGTTGATTATTAAGTTTAGTTTTTCTCTTAACTAAAATGATTAGACCATTACAAATACCTTCCCCATGTTTTTTCCACCTTTATGGCATTTATTTCATTAAATTAAACTAAAAGAATAATTACATATATTGGACAACAGCATAAAAAAGCTGATATGATGTAAATGTACACACAATTATAAACTAAAACTACTGCAAGATATACTTTATAAATAGCCTCCATTGCCCTAACCTTAATAAAATGTCTTCTTTTGTTTTCACAGGACTTCCAGAAGGCACTTTCAGAGAGTCTCTATAATAACCTCTTTAATGGTGCTAACTATTGTCTTGGTGATTCTGTCTTATTCTTCTGAAGACGTCTCTGACTCAGACTCCACCATTCTTCAAGTTGATGTCAGAAACTATCAAATTCAATTAAAGTCCTTAGGCAGAACTTTCCCACATGTTGACCGTTTTCCAAAATGTGTAATAAACACATCGGCTGAACAGGTCAAGGACTTCCACTCATTTCCTCCAATTTCTAAAGACATTCTCTATTACCACCACTGTCGGCATTTTCCAATGATACTCGACATCCCTAACAAATGCGGTGGAGCTTATGGATCATCTGATGTTTTCCTTTTACTGGTCATTAAAAGTCCTGCTGTCAACTATGACAGGAGAGAGGTGTTGCGCAAGACCTGGGCCGAGGAGAGATTGTCTAATGGAGTGTGGATCCGAAGAATCTTTATCTCAGGAACAATGGGTACCGGATATGAAAAGGAGAGACTGAACAAGCTTCTACAGCTGGAGCAAAGGAAGTACAATGACATTCTCCAGTGGGATTTCAAAGACACGTTTTCCAACCTCACGTTAAAGCAGACACTGTTTTTGGAGTGGTTCGAGAAAAACTGCCCAAACACCCAGTTTCTATTTAATGGTGATGATGATGTCTTTGCCAACACAGACAACATGGTAGTGTATCTCCAACACTTTAAACGTAATGGTGGAAGGAGGCACCTTTTTGCTGGCAATGTCATGCCCCAAATGGATCCCATTCGCCATCCACACAGTAGATATTTTGTTCCAGAAGAGCTCTACAGGCCAAATATATATCCTGATTACTGTAGTGGTGGTGGCTACCTTCTGTCTGGCTACACAGCTTTGATCATATACAACATGTCACACTCCGTCCCCCTTATTCCCATCGATGATGCTTACATGGGAATGTGCTTAGCTAAGGCAGGGCTACGTCCAGAGCATCATATTGGGGTGAGACCATTTGGACTAAATGTTAAAGGAAAAAATGTTGATGAGCTTAATCCTTGCTTCTATAAAGAAATGCTTGTTGTTCACAGAATGCTCTCAGGCAACATGTATACCATGTGGCACAGAATTCAAGATCCTGATCTTAGGTGCGCCCCCTCCAATCCCAAAATGTAAATTGTTTACATCACAGCACTTTCAGTGCTACAGTGAGATAGATGCCTCACCCTACAGCCATGTTTACTTCAAATTGAATTAGACTAGAATCACAAAATTAATAAGTGACTTTATATTGGACTTTATGAAATCCTAAGAGTTTAAGACATCACTTTCAAACATTGTAGATGACATCAGCTAACAATAGGAGGTGGAATATTAGCTTTTAGAACACTGATTGACTTCTATATAACCCTTACTCAAAGGTAGTGCATACTAATTTTAAATTAAAACATCCTAAAATAAATTTTCAGTTAACTCTAATTTTGTTATCAGTGAAATACTTAAAATGCATGCTACTGTACCTATACTTTGCGTTTACTAGAAAGTATAATGAAAGTTTATTTTACAGTTTTAATTAAACGTTAAACCAATATTAGCACATTAATAGTACATTTTTACACATGCTACTTTTTTATGGTATATTTATTCCACTCTGGTTTTAAATCATATCTTATGTTCTTTTGCAGATCTGCTTTAGTGTAAATTGTATAAGAGGGTTATGGTGTAGTTTAACTTGATTGGTAATTTACCAAGTTATTAACAAACACAGACATATAAAAAAATGTTTAAAATGTTTTTAGACATCATAAATCTGTTAGTTTTGAAATTTACAACTATTACAATAATATAGGTGCTTTTGAAATTGATGTTCAATAAGTAAATTGGCATAGGTGGTCTTCACTAAAACATTTGATTTGTGGTGGTATGACTATAGCTAAATCAAATGTTTTAATCACTTTCTTATGGATTTAATATGGTAATAATGTAATTAATGTAATCAATTAATGATCAAATGTAAATAATGCAATTTGGTGACAGTAATGCACAGCCAAGTTTTGATCAGCCACAAATTACCACCATTTGAAGATTAGAAGAACAGAGTGAATGAATAACCCCCCCCAACATAAGCAAAAATATATGTCTTAAAGGCATAGAGGACAATCTTTTATTTCCAAGTGGATTATCTAAATAAGTGGTCCTACTAATTGTCAATCATTCTGGTGAGCAACGGTTTCACAGTTCTTTGAAACTTGTCAGGGGTTGTAAGAGAAAAAGTGTCTTTGAAGTGTATGAGAAGGGAAGAAAGGCCTGAAAAGAGGCGGATATATCCCGGAATGCTTCACACGGAGAGCTCTCCTCGCAATGCATTGTAGGATTTGCTGTCACAGTGTTTTGCTGTTGCCATAGGCATAATAGGGGATGGGTCAAATGCCTCTGCACTTAACCCGTCCCCTTAGGGAGCAGTCGGCAGCCACCATGCACAAGGAGAAATGGGCTAATGCATGCTCTCTTGTGCATTTAATAGGGGTTCCCTCTCAGGATTGGGTACAGGATTTTGCATGTGCATACTTTTTTTTGAAAAAGGCAGGTCTTTTAAAAAAAATCCTCCACAATACCTTTAAAAACAATGATCAGCAGCCTAAGTTTGACAAAGATGTTAGATGATTGTCAAGTTGCAAGAAGTCAAAGACAGAAAAGATATGTTGTTTGTGTGTTGTTTACTGTTCCTTCAATCATGTTTAAAATTTCAGAAGAATCAAATGAAACAATGAGAGCTACAAGCAAGCTTCTACAATGAAGATACTTCTGCGGTTTTACACTCCACTGCTGGTACGATTGACTGTTCTTGAAACTGCATTGCCAAAATTAGAATGGGGGTTTGAATTTAAATGGAATTGTTCAGTGGATGCAAATAAAATGCTGAAATAAATGTGTCACGTTTCTCTTTGCCATCATTAAAGGTGGGCTATTAATAGGTTATTTCAGGACAATTTAAAGATGATTTATTTTTTTTAGTGGACTATGTCATGGTTTTATTAAGTGCTCTGACCTACATGCAGAAAACCAACACAGAGAGACCAGGGAAAAGTTTAACAGGTTTTTTGAGAAAGATGAGATGAGTCCAGTATTGCTCTGAACACTGTTCAAACGGAAATGGAAAGTGAGGGGAAGACACTGCAGTTAGTTCAGGCTCAATTTGATTCTTGAACTTGAAGAGGAGAAATAGGTAGCTGACACACGTTTCCAGAAAATGGTGTCTCTTATTGACTACAGTCGGTGTGTGATGTTCCAGTGTTTGTCTTGTTCGATGGAGGGAGGACAGGGTTTACACAGAATGAGGTTGTACGTTGGTGAACGGAGAAGCTGACTGCCACATAGATTTCCTGCGGTACTTGAACGGCTTGTTGTGGAGATGAATCCCCTGCTCAGAGAGAAGCCCCAAACGGTCCTTGGGGAAAAGGGTTGATCAGAACCACAAACTTGAATCCTCAGCTCAGCTTGATTCTCAGAAGATCCTTCCAGAGGAAAGAAGGTCCGAAACATCCAGTTTACAGGATGGCTTCCTGCCTAGAGGTAAAGACAAAAACAGCAAGGTTAAAACTCAGGTAGACAAAAACTCAGTTTCACTCAGCAAAACTCAGCTTGGCTAGAGTACCCAAAACTGACAAACACTCTGGCGTCGAGGTAGTGGCAATCAGCAGCTTAAGAGCACTCCATTAATGAGGTAACCCTCCACAGGTGTGTGAGGAGGCCAACCAGAACCAGGTGCTGCCTGGTGGAGGAAGGAAAATAAAAACAAACACAAACCACACAGACTGGAATCCTAACAGACTATAAGTTTATAATTCACAAACTAAACCTGGAAGGTTACTGTCATTATACTTTAAACTCCAGTTTCAAGTCTAATAAAAAAAAAAAAAATATATATATATATAAGCTATATATATATAAGCTATATTAAAGCTATATATAAGTTTAAGGTATATATAAGTTCACTCCTGGTAAACTAATTGTAGACTTACAACATCATTTTCAATATACACCAGAGGTAAGCACTAAAAGCTGAATATTTGTTATTATCTCAGACAGTTTTAAAAATTCAGTGTACTTGGTGCAAGATAGTAGTATAGAGATCTAAATTAGAATTAAACCTTTGGAAAAACTAAAATATCAAATATTCACATGTGTATTTGATATTCATTGGAATCATTTCCTTGTGCCTTCCATTATAGAGAAGTAGTAAGATACTCAAACTTGCATAAGTACGAAAGAGGTTGATTAGACAACTAGACATTTGTGTTTCGCATGATTACACAGTTAAATTGTAAAGAGGTTCAACATGACACATCATTTTGCAAGATCTCCTCTTAATACATGCACACACGTGTGCTGTACATTTCTAGACTGTCTGTCATCCCTTCATCACACAAGTTTAGAGAAATGTGTTTTTCCTACTAATTGGAAAAAAGCTAAAATTGTTTCATCACCAAAAAAACAATAAAGAACCTTTTTCAGGGTAAAATAGCAGACCTATAAGTATTCTTTCAATTTTGAGTAAGCTTATGGAGAAAATAGTTTATGATCAAATTAATTTATATTTCTCTGTAAATGGGTTGAATTCACCCTATTAACATGCCTATAAGAAAGGGCACTCCACAATGACTGCCTTAGTTCAGATGGTGGATAATTGGTTGCATGAAATTGACGACAGAAAATTTGTTGGGACTGTACTGCTAGATCTGAGTGCAGCATTTGATTTAATTCATCATAATTTGTTATTGGAAAAGTTAAGTAAGTAAGTTAAGGTGATTGAAAGATGTGCAATCCAATGGATCTATAGCTATCTTACTAAGAAGGAGTTTAATGTACTTTTTAATGGTAGTTATTCTGAGACAAAGGTTATGCACCGTGGGGTGCCTCAAGGCAGTTCCCTTTGGCCATTGTTATTTCCAATTTTACAAATGACTTGTCTTTTATTTTTGGAGTTTGCCACTATTGCTTTATATACAGATGACTCAACTCTTTATGTGTCTGACTACAACTTTACCAGACTTAATATGATATTAAATAATGAACTAAAATTTATTGAGAATTTGTTCAAAGAAAATAAGTTGGTTATAAATTCTGCAAAGAGCAAATGGTGTTGGGATTTAATCATCTTTTAAAAGGCTCAGCTACTCTTAACTTGGTTGTTAGTGGTTCAGTCATTGAACAAGTGGCTGAGGCCAAATTGCTTGGCGTGACTGTGGAGAGCAGGCTAACTTGTAATGCTCAGATGATACAAATACTGAATAATATGGGCAGGAGTATGGCAGCAGTTCGGTACTGTAGAAAATGCATACCAATTCAAATACAGAAAACTTTGGTGGAATCAATAGTTTTGTGTCATCTTGACTACTCTTGGGCAATTGGGCAACAATGACAGAAAATTACCTCAACAAATTTCAAGTTGTACAAAATAAAGCAGCTCAGCTTGTTCTAAACTGTTCTTTTGAACAAGTATTAGAGACATGCCCAATCAGTTAGCATGGCTGCTTGTAAGGAGCAGAATAAAATATTATTTAATTACATTCTTAAAAAATGTATTTACTGTATTACAAAAGCACCTGAAATTATTAATAATATGTTGACTTTTTGATGACATTCATAATTATTTCACTCGTCAATCAAGTGAAAGACGTTTTTGTTTACCTGCCTGTCAAACAAATCAGCTTCAGAGAACATCGTGTTATAGGGCGATGGTGGCGTGGAACTCACTCCCGCAATTCTTGATTTCAGAGATGTACTATGTTAGCTTTTCCAAAAGGCTTAGACTTTATATATTTACTTTGGAGTGACTGTAATGTTTATTGAATTATTAATTCATAATGAGCACTAGTAACTAAAATGTTTTGTAATTTACATAATATGCATCGATTGGTAATGTTTTGTACATAGAATAGCTCATACATGTGTGTATCTGTGTGTATGTTATATATACATATTTATAGTTTGATGTAATATCTGTAAAAATGTTAAGACCCCAGGAAGAATAGCCACTGTTTTCAGTGGCTATTCTTATAATAGGGATAATAGGGATCTAAAGAAATAAACAAAACAACTCTCTCTCTTACAACATATAAAGATAACAATGTTTATGGTGAATCTCTAATTTCAGAATCAGAATCAGAATCGGG